GGCCTTTTGTCTGGGCCGTTTGACCAAAACAAGCCCTTGAATAAAAGCAGAAGCTTGCCTATGGAAGGCATACTTGAGTCCATGCGATCTAAGATACACAGCACCAGAAGTCACATGAACTGAGCTCAAGATCAAACCAGGTTTGCAATGTCGCTCTCAAATAAAATGGGTTTTTTACTATACTGGACACATTGTGGGATAAACACATAAGGGAACATTATCCCCGTTGCTGCCTGGGGCTTCACCACCAGCATTTGTGAGAGGAACCCAACAGGACATGTGATCTGTAAGATATTTCCGTTGGAGATGGCCAGTTCAGCCTGGCCTAGACTGGTGATGAGGAAAAGCAGGCTCATGTCCTTGCCTAGATTACATGAATTGGATGATTTCTGTATAGCTTGACCAGAGGATTGTTTGCACCACAAAACTTGCTACTGATACTGGCTCTTTGGCTGGCAGGCAGAGTAAATGTTAGGGACTGAAGCTGTGGTTGCAGTGTCTTTGGTATGAGGTCTGTGCGCTATCAGGTCAGAATAAACATGGTTCAGCTCAGACATGGGACACAAAGTTATATTTCCCAGAGTCGTATTAGCCAGAGTTCACAATACGGATGTAAAGTCCATTTTATGATTTTATGCTTACTGTGGGGGGATGCATGGAAATGCATATGTAAGGACAGGTAAGTCAGGCACAAAGCCTTTTGGCACAAAAATTAACACGGCCAAATTTTTGGAAAAAATCAGAACCAGCAGAAAGGACTTACTGCAGATCAACACTCTGCATTGAGTGGCTTTACTGTTTTCAGTCTGGCCCTGGGAGCCAGATAAAAGCTGGTTGTCTTGTGCTATCAGGCCATATCTTATGAAACTTTTCCATGCCAGATTCTTGCAGAGCAGACTGAGGCCGTGCGGAGTACACATGCAAACTCCAGTGAGCTATACCTGCCCCACAGAAATCCTGGGTGCTGTTGTTCTGGCTTTATACACTGAGCAAGCTATTCATGCCCTAATGAAAGAGTAGCTGTCGCTAGAGGTAGAGGAGGATGGAAAGCCAGCGCCCTGGCAAAATAGTTTCCCAGTATCTTTCAGCAGGCATATGCCATTTTCAAGGAACAAGTATAGTACAAATCAGAGCATTTCTAAACCAGGCTGGTGGCTGGTGGTGTTCAGACCTAAAGTGGCAAACAAATGTGATAAATAACCCTGTGGCCTCTTTGTGCCAGAGGAATTTCTCGAATTTCTCAAAGGTCTTGCCTCTGTGGAATAACAGATACTTACTGAGGAATTACCACTAGTCATTTTGCATCGTCCCTGGAGCCACACAGGGCGGAGGCGGTGAGGCACACATTGCCCTTCTCTCCTTGCGTAAAGGCAACATCAACATAGAGGGCTGCCTCTCTGGCGGGGGGACGGGCGTTGCGCTGTGTGGCACCCCCAGCCGGGCTTGCGCCGAGGGCAGGCTAAGCCACGAGCCTGGCAAATGCTGTCCCCTGCTCTTGGTGGCACCTCCCTCTCGTCCTGCGCTGAAGGTGCTGCGCAGCTGGAGAGATGGGAAATGGAAATGCTTTTTGCCTCGGTCACTATTTAAAAATTAGGCATAAACCCAGATTGAGTGAAAGCGAGCTGCTGTCTGCTGGCAATGGGGCGGCTGTCCAGCAGTGGGCTTGGTGAGCTCCACGCTCGCTGTTTGGACTTGCTTGACACAGGGTCGGTCCCTGCAGAGGAACAGGGGTCCCACCACCAGCACAGGCTGTGCCAGTCAAGAAGGAAGCCAAAGATGCCTGCAAAATCCCGCTTAAAGGTGTGTAGCCTGAGTTTAAGATGCTGGTGGGAATATTAAGTTTGAAGCACTGGCTGGTGGCTTGTGGGGTGTGTTGGTGAGGCAGCGCGAGAAGGGCATGCCTTCATGCATAGCCTGCAGTTTACTTCCACTTTTGAAACCCATAACCCAGCACTTCACATGACCAGCCTATTCTGCGGTGTTTTGTAAGCTATGTAAAACTCAGTGTGCTTAAGACTGAAAAAGAATATGAAACAGAACTTCCGCTTGAATTCTTTTTTAACTTGGCAAGTTTATACCTGCATCTAAACCACTAGTATTTTTACTTCCACACTCCTAGTTTCCGAAGACCCTGACTTTGGGGAAAAACAGACCAAAATCTACATAGAGATGTGCTCCCATCTCTGTACGATAAGCCTGTTGCACAAATCAGGGCATTTCTTGGAGCACACAAAAATTGTTGCCTTTCACATCACTGAAGCAAAGGCTGTTCTAATACAGGCCCAATTGTAACACAAAATAATTATGTCCATGGAGATTCAAATCTTGAAAAATTAAATATTCAGATCCTCACCGACATACTGCAAATACATTTGAAACATTCTTGTTTCCCAGGATAATAGCTACATAATTAGGCTAAGCCTTTCACACTTTCTCTTTGAACCCATTGGATTTATTTACCAAAAATCATTGCGTAGATATGCCCAGCAAATGTCTTAGAGAACCGTTTGTAACTAAATTAAAAGCTTAAATACAGAGATTCTCTCTTCACTAAGTACTGGCTTTTATTAAAACTGCGTGTTGCTCATACTTCATCCCTTGCAGCCTTTTTAAATCCTCTGTTTGACATTTTGAATGTGCCATGCAGGTTCTAATACACATTACACAAAAAGAGCTATTATAAAATTCCTGACTTTTTCTTGTTTGCATGACAAAGGGGGAATGACAAATCCTCCAATTGGACCAGATAATCACTCTCCTGTGAAAAGCCTACAATCCACATCCTCTGTTTTCTTCTTAGCTGAGCTTCAACTGTGTTTGGTCAATAATTTTATTTTACGTGTGAAGCCCATAAATCACCTTCCAATACACATTGGACAGTGAAGAGTCCTGGTAGATTAGACATCAGCCACAGGAGGAATCACATCCGGATCCACGAAAGCCAGGTGCTGCTGGAGCAATCAGGCATTTTCATTTCATGTTACCACGGTTTTTTGAAGAGCCCTCACTACACAGTAGGACCACTTTCCAGGGTAAAGACTAATTGAATGGGTAAGGGTTTACTGGATCAGGTCTTCTGACCTGAGAGAGAGACCATTACAAGCCTGTGAACTGCAGTTTTATCCAGGTGACTGTCACTATATGAACATAACAAATTCACTGCTGGAACTGAGTTAGCCAACACTTACAGAACGTATCCGAAGGAAACTTTGTCGGGACCCGAACATTGCTTAGCTGCAGTTTGCGACCCAAGCCTCTGAAGCGGTTCATCGTGTGGCTGCGTTTGTCCCATCCCATGGGAATCAGTAATGTGCCGTTTAGCTGGGGGGGCAGTCCGAGGGAACAGCCGGCCGTACGGAGCCTTCTTAGGGGGCTGAGAGGGTCACAAAGATTTCAGAAAAAAAGCCCTTCCCTCCTCTTATTTGCAAGAACAGGAGTTTTTGACATGAGTTGAAGTTGAGGTGGTCAAATGAAGTGGATATTTTTCACCATTATTTGTGTCTTGGGAATGAATATAACAGGAAATACTGGTTTGTTCAGAGAAAGATGCTACACAAAGGGAAAGATTAAAGAATGTACGCCTTGGGCCATGCACAAACTGTTAGTTTGTAGTCTATGTTTCCATTTTAGCCTTAAAACTCGATTCAACTAAATAAGGTGCCCCTTTAACATCTAGTGGAGGCTTTGTCATGTTTAAGGAGACAAGTTTCTTAAAAGGTTATAATGACAAAATGAGCAGTAACAGAAGTGTTTAGTGAGGCTCTTTCAGGCGGCTTTGTTGCCTTCCTCCCCGAACACAACAGGCTGCCTCGGCTGACACTTGTTTTAATGAGGGATGAACCACAACGGGGTGCTTTTGTACAAGTTCGTTACGTCGGGTCCTCCAGCCAGACTTTTCTCAGGGCACACCATTCAGCCTGGACATTAGATGAAATTGGACCAATTTTAAATCATTTAGAGAGACATATAAAATCCAAAGAACTTTTGATGCTGAAGACATTTGCTCAGGCGTGTTACTGCTGGAGAGGATGAGATCTGCCCCAAGTGCCATGCTCCTTCACACTTTTATCGATCACATTTTATTTTTTTCAATTCACTTCTCCTGGGATTGGTTTCAAAAATAGACTTCCTCATCTTATGCCAGCAAAGGTCAGGGAAGCAAAGGATGTGAGCTTCAAGTTTAAAGGTTGACTTCAAGGCAAACATCCCACCCCCCCCCAAGCCTCCAGGTCAGCTTCGCTCTCCAGAGACAGCTCTCTATTGTGGTTGTTGATAGTGTTCAAAATACCAATATTCTTCATCCGTGTTGTGGAAAAGCAGAGTGGTTTCTCATGTTCACTGAAAGGTGATCTGCCTTTATATAAAGCCGCCTTCTTTTAAGCGCAAGTATTATGAAACCCACAGGAATCCATAAAGAGTGATGGGACATTTTTCTAAAATGTCAGGCCTGCACATTTTCCACCTTCTGTGATTCAGAAGCAGCGTAAAAGGCCATAAACCGTTCAACTGCTGTGATTCACTGCCCTGATTCATACACTTGATACAAATATTCAGAGATCAAAGCGGTACCTACCCCCCAAAAAAAGATTTTAAATGATTTTTTAATGCTTGCCATAAAGATGGACTTCCAGCTAAAGCATTATTCTCCTGATTGATATTGGCTATTTTAGGTAGCAAGTCCCCTGCGGTAAAGATTGACGCTTCCTTTAAGAATCATATGGTGCGGTACATAAAGCAATGTACTCTGCAGATGTGTTTCCTCCCTGACCTAGGCTGAACATGAAACACTGATCACTCAGGGGTTTTCTGGGCAAAAGTTTACAGGGAATTAAAAAAGGATGGAAACTTCTTCCCCGTGAAGGAATCTGGAAGCTCCCCTAAACCTTCTTGTATTAACTTTGCAGTAGATGAAGGTGTTAAACTGGCATGTGTCTACCGACGGGGGAGTGATCCTTTTAAGTCCTCTGCTTCGTCCCCACTTGTGGAATTTGTTGTGCCAGTGGGACGAGGCTGGCTATAAAACCCCGGGGCAGGGGACCTCCGTCCCGCTCAGGCAGCCTGCCACCACGTCTCTGCCGAGAGCAGCCCCGGGAGATCCCCCCTTCATCTCTGCCGGGCAGGCGGCTGCTTCGCCGACGGAGGAGGATGGATGCGAGGTTCGCCCGGATGCTCTGCGTGCTCTGCCTGGTCGTGACGGTCCGAGCGTTTACCCAGGAAGGGTTCAAGGAGGTGTTGCTGAAGCAGCTGGGGCTCTCCGAGGTCCCTAAGCTTCATAAGAGAGACTTGGTGGATCTGGTTATCCCAGACCACGTAAAGAACAAATACATCTCCATGTTGAAGCGCCACAGGGTGAAGCGCCGAGCTTTGCCAAGCCTGGCCGGCATCCTCAGGGGGATCCCTGGCAACGCAGGTAACGTTTCGACCATCGCTGTCGGGAGCTCACAAAGCACTGTGCCGCTGCCAGGGGAAGCTGCCCACGCTCGCCCGGCCGGCTGCAGGACAGGCAGAGGCAAACCCACGGGGGGAATGAGATTTGAGTCTGGCTCCAAACCTGAGCTGGGTAGGAGAAGTGCATGTAACAGCATCTTAAAGATTAACACGCACTAGTAACTCCGTGCACCTGGAGAGGGGGGTCCCAAAATCCTTGCAAAGGGCAGGCTGCTGCTGGAGCTTGATAGAAGAGAAAAGCCTTGGTACCCAGGCAACATTTTGGGCAGGTGGAAAAACGATGTTAAAAAAAAAGAAAGTCGGTAGAAGTGCAGACCTTGCAGATTTGGGGTCAAAACTCCTGGAAGTCCTCTAATAGGAATCACACCTCTTTGAGGATGTTTCACTCTCCCCGTCTTTTTTTTTTTTTCCTCTGGGAAAAATATCAAGGAGGAAATCAGCTATACAGACACAATGGTGTCTGTACAAGAGCACTTAGAGCTTGTTTCACTTTTAAAAGACATACGTAGCACCCTGGGCAGCAAACGAAAACACTTTTTCATTGCAAGTGGTGCAGTTTCCTGCTTTCATGCCCAGCGCTGGCACAAAGAGATTGCACCTTTCGGGGCTTGCTCAATATGGGGTCAAATTAATATAGGAGATTTCTTTCCTCCAGGTTGCAGAGACTCAGACATAGGAGAAGAATTAGGGCATTTGCAAGACATTGATTCAAGTATGCATTAGAAAAGGTGTGTTTAGTGGCTGCCTCTGCCACAAGGGCTGGATGCGGGAGCATGGAAGGAGTGTGTTGTGATGATAATTGTGGACGAAGTGTGGGGGCTTTGCTAACCAGGATGGCAATGACAGGCTGTCTTTTTTGTTCTCAACATGCACAGGCATGGCAGGAGAAGTCCTCTGTTCTGACACCACCACGCGCCAGAACCTCATCTTTGACATGGAGGGCAGAATACCTAAAAACAGTGAAGTGACAATGGCTGAACTGAAACTCTTCAAAAAGCCTCTGGACAGAGCAAACCTACCTGCCAAGCAGTCTCACAGGCCCGTCTCCAACGCCAGAGTCAGCGTGTACTGGGTGCAACGGCAGCACGATGGTACCAACAGGACCTCCCTGATAGACTCCAGGTAAGAAAGGGACCTCTCCTGAAGGCAGGACTCTGGTTACGGGGTATGGGTCCTCTGGGGCGGGTTCAGGTGTCATGTGTTTGTGCCTCTGGTCAGTCTGATGGGGTTACATCTGTAGAAATCAGCCTCTATAGCCTCTAAACGAATGAGTTCGTAAGAGCAGATGTTAGGTTAAGACTGCAATATATGATGATTCATTGAAATAATCTATTTCTGTGTCAAACAATGCCGTGTACTGCTAGATCTTCCCCTCTAAAACCCTCTACCTGGTTCACTTCTCTCCCACTCTCTAACTCACATGGGTTACTGGCTGCTGGTGTTCTTTCCAGTAGCCATTTCATTAGCTGGTTTAAATACGTAAATTATGCAAAAAGCATCTGATTCTGCAGCCTTGAGCTCTGTGGAATTTTTACAACCCTTAAGGCTGAATTAGACATCAAACCAATTTTCTGGGTGGGTAGAAACTTACGGCCCTAATGCAGCTAGGAAAGGAGCACGTGGGAGTAGTGGTGTTTACCAGGCTGTCGTCACTAATGCTGAGGCCGCATGTAATTCTGCACTGCCATATTTCTGTATGAGCATGAATGAATACCTTGACACGAGCATGCACAAAGGGTTTTATTTAGCCCTTCAGTATCTGCTAGATCTGCATGCTTCTTTTTGAGGTGTGAGTTAATTGCCATGGGTGCTTGCCCAGAGTGCTCAGCAAAAATTATCGTGCAACCAAGGCATGTGACAATCTACGGGAAACAAATTATTCTGCTGCAATAACAGCGCTGCGAGCCCGGGCTTTATCTGATGGGCTTTTCTCTAATGCCGAGCCCCTGTTGCACAGGCTGGTTCCCATACGTGAGTCGGGCTGGAAGAACTTTGACGTGACACAGGCCGTGCATTACTGGCTGCGAAACAAGAGGCGGGAGCCAATGTTCCTGGAGGTCTGGATTGAAGGAGAAAGGGTAGGCAGCCATGCCTCAGAAGTGGCCAAAGCTGTGCGTTTCACCTCTCAGGACCCCAAGGATAAAGCCCTAGGCAAACCTGAACTGGTGCTTTACACCCTCGACTTGGAAGACTATGGGTACGTACAAAACCTAAATCTGTACTGTCTCCGGTGTAACTTTGCCCCTGAATTATTGTGCTGTGTGTGCCAACCCAGGGCGTGCAGCTCTTGCCCTCGCAAGTAAACGGCTGTGAACGGTGGAGTTAGAAAGTTGCTGCTGAATCACACCTCTTCTCTTCCCATATTTGTTGCCTGAATATTCAAACGAAACCCGAGCGTGGTCCAAGTTTCACGTCCCAGGGCCTGCCTGTGCTATCAACAGGGGGGATTATCTCTCCCACCTTCCCGGTTTCCAGTTACGGCACCAGTTCTTGTTTCTCCCTTGGTGCGCAGGGGCCCCGGGGATTGCAAGGAGGAGGCGGTGACGGGGAAATCCACCTGCTGCCGGCAGAAACACTACGTCAACTTCCGCGAGCTCGCCTGGACGCAGTACTGGATCATCGAGCCGGCAGGGTCCCAGGCTTACCGGTGCCCGGGGGGCGGGCCG